GTCTGGGGACATGTCGTGGTCTAAGAACGTAAATTGCATATCTTGAAATACAGTACAGAACACTGGGTCCCTCCCCTATTTTCTCTGTATTATCCTTATTGTGTGCTGAAAATAATGAGCCTCGCGGGTTGGGCAGGGTTAAACGGATGCACTAGGGACAGTTCTAGCGTGGTCTTAGCCAGTGTCCAATCACCTGAAGGTAAACGGCATATAATACCTGGTCTAAGGCTGGCCATAGATGGTGCGTTTTTGCTTTTGTGCAATCGGGTTGCAGGAAAGAAACTTGCTTGATTCCCCCATTTACACAGTGTTCATGGGGGAATCCCTCCTGCAGACCTATTGTGTTCTACTGGGGGAGATTTGGGTGCAGGCAGCTGTCCCTTCCGGGAGAACACAGCTATAGCTGCAATCATCGCATTTATAAATCCAACACGCTGGTTGTACCCAAGTCAATCAATGGATCAACTATCTCAGCCTGCCCATAGATGGTTCAAATCTCGCTCGGTCCCTGTTGAACTGGCCAAGATGCGCACCATCAATGGCCGGCTTAAGAATCTACTCTTTTATCCTGTACTGCACACCAACATATGGGATTTCCTTTTTTTTTTTTTTTTTTTACAGTATTGCACTGTGCTGTGAGTCTTCAAATGGAGCATGCTGATTGGAAGAGAGAGATCAAATATACATTATCACTGAGCAGATTTTTCTTCAATATCCATTCTGCTGTCTCCTTCTATCAGCAAATTCCTTGTTAGCACAATGCAGCATAATTGTCTCCTGGTGCTACCTCTCCTTCTCCCGGTTTGAGCTCTGCTGTACAGGGACTGTAAGTGGCTGATACTGAGCTAAATGTTGGTTCTTGCACTGCTTGCATTATAAAAAAATGTGTCAGAAAATGCAGCGCTATATATGAAAAAGGTAACCGCTGAAATGAACAGACAATAATATATCAGTGATCATAAACATGCGCTGTGGAGCGCTAACATAATATCAAATATGCAACGTCTATAATGGTGATATGAAGAAGTACAAAAGAGTGACATATAGCAAATATAATATCACATCCCGCGACGTGATGATATTCCGTCCAATATTGAAAACAAGGTGAAAAATAGTGACTCCCGTGATGTTGAATGGATATATAATGCACTAACCAGATAGCGCAAACTAGTGCGCCTTGAGTTGTCAGACCACTCCTGGTCATCAGGAAATGGAAAGGTAAGAATCAGGAGATCATCCAGAAAAACCAGCAGCACGACAGGTGATCAGCATGTCATCTCCCACGCCCGATTGCAGGACTTCTCCAGGACTTCCCCCATCCTCTGGAACTCCCTACCCCAATCCATCAGACTGTCACCTACCCTCCTCACCTTCAGGCGCACTCTGAAAACCCTCCTCTTCAGGGAAGCCTACCCCAACCTCACCTAACACCCGACCTCACCTAACAACTAACCTCCTCCACTCCACCCACCACTCTATCCCCCACAGCCATCTCCTCCTGTGCCACCTTCCCCTCCCTCCTAGATTGTAAGCTCGAAAGAGCAGGGCCCTCGAACCTCTTGTGTATTGTATTGTTACTGTATTGTCCCATGTTCTGTCCCCCTTGCTACTGTACAGAGCTGAGCATACCCTTTGGCACTATATAAATACTGTATAATAATAATAATCTCTTTCCAAGTGCTGTTACTCATCCATCCACCAGGGGTCATATTCTGAGTATCATCTGTAATCAGCCATCCAGCATGGAAACCTCACCATAGTGGGTATGGGGCACCAGAACAGGAATCCACCTTGAAAGGGGGCTCATGATAAAACGAGCCCAAGCAGAGATCTTGATTGTGCAGTATTTTGACTTTATTAAGAGAATGAATATACATAGAGAGAACTCATATCAGCTCAAGATCAAATCAGTAGAAAAGATGGCCGCCGGCCTCCACGCAGGCCGAACGGCATGATGTCACCGGCTAGGTTAGGGTGGAGCCAACAACTCAAGGCGCACTAGTTTGCACTATCTGGTTAGTGCATTATACAGTATATCCATTCAACATTATTATTATTTATTATTATTATACAGTATTTATATAGCGCCAAAGGGTTTGCTCAGCGCTGTACAAAGGCAGGGGGACAAGACATGAGACAAGACAGAGACAGTGCGATACACGAGGGGTTAGAGGGCCCTGCTCTTTCGAGCTTACAATCTAGGAGGGAGGGGAAAGTGGTACAGGAGGAAGTGGCTGTGGGGTCTGAGGTGGTGGGAGGAGTGGAGGTCAGATGTTAGGTGAGGGAGGGGTAGGCCTCCCTGAAGAGGTGGGTCTTCAGGGTGCGCCTGAAGGTGGTGAGGGTGGGTGACAGTCTGATGGATTGGGGTAGGGAATTCCAGAGGATGGGGGAGGTCCTGGAGAAGTCTTGCAGTCGGGCGTGGGAGGAGGAGATCAGGGAGCTAGAGAGTAGGGGTCCTGAGAGGAGCGAAGGGCACGGGTAGGGTAGTATTTGGGTATCAGGTCGGTTAAGTAGGTTGGGGCAGCATTGTGGATGGCTTTGTAGGTCAGGGTTAGTAGTTTGAATTTGATGCGTTGGGCATCAACATCACGGGAGTCACTATTTTTCACCTTGTTTTCAATATTGGACGGAATATCATCAAGTCGCGGGATGTGATATTATATTTGCTATATGTCACTCTTTTGCACTTCTGCATATCACCATTATAGACGTTGCATATCTGATATTATGTTAGCGCTCCACAGCGCATGTTTATGATCACTGATATATTATTGTCTGTTCATTTCAGCTGTTACCTTTTTCATATACAGTCAGGTCCATAAATATTGGGACATCGACACAATTCTAACATTTTTGGCTCTATACACCACCACAATGGATTTGAAATGAAACAAACAAGATGTGCTTTAACTGTAGACTGTCAGCTTTAATTTGAGGGTATTTACATCCAAATCAGGTGAACGGTGTAGGAATTACAACAGTTTGTGCCTCCCACTTGTTAAGGGACCAAAAGTAATGGGACAATTGGCTTCTCAGCTGTTCCATGGCCAGGGGTGTGTTATTCCCTCATTATCCCAATTACAATGAGCAGATAAAAGGTCCAGAGTTAATTTCAAGTGTGCTGTTTGCATTTGGAATCTGTTGCTGTCAACTCTCAAGATGAGATCCAAAGAGCTGTCACTATCAGTGAAGCAAACCATCATTAGGCTGAAAAAACAAACCCATCCGAGAGATAGAAAAAACATTAGCCGTGGCCAAAACAACTGTTTGGAACATTTTTTAAAAAGAAGGAACGCATCGGTGAGCCCAGCAACACCAAAAGACCCAGAAGACCACGGAAAACAACTGTGGTGGATGACCGAAGAATTCTTTCCTTGGTGAAGAAAACACCCTTCACAACAGTTGGCCAGATCAAGAACACTCTCCAGGAGGTAGGTGTATGTGTGTCAAAGTCAACAATCAAGAGAAGACTTCACCAGAGTGAATACAGAGGGTTCACCACAAGATGTAAACCATTGGTGAGCCTCAAAAACAGGAAGGCCAGATTAGAGTTTGCCAAACAACATCTAAAAAAGCCTTCACAGTTCTGGAACAACATCCTATGGACAGATGAGACCAGATCAACTTGTACCAGAGTGATGGGAAGAGAAGAGTATGGAGAAGGAAAGGAACTGCTCATGATCCTAAGCCTACCACCTCATCAGTGAAGCATGGTGGTGGTGGTAGTGTCATGGCGTGGGCATGTATGGCTGCCAATGGAACTGGTTCTCTTGTATTTATTGATGATGTGACTGCTGACAAAAGCAGCAGGATGAATTCTGAAGTGTTTCGGGAATATTATCTGCTCATATTCAGCCAAATGCTTCACAACTCATTGGACGCTTCACAGTGCAGATGGACAATGACCCAAAGCAGACTGCAAAAGCAACCAAAGAGTTTTTTAAGGGAAAGAAGTGGAATGTTATGCAATGGCCAAGTCAGTCACCTGACCTGAATCCGATTGAGCATGCATTTCACTTGCTGAAGACAAAACTGAAGGGAAAATGCCCCAAGAACAAGCAGGAACTGAAGACAGTTGCAGTAGAGGCCTGGCAGAGCATCACCAGGGATGAAACCCAGCGTCTGGTGATGTCTATGCGTTCCACACTTCAGGCTGTAATTTACTGCAAAGGATTTGCAACCAAGTATTAAAAAGTGAAAGTTTGATTTATGATTATTATTCTGTCCCATTACTTTTGGTCCCTTAAAAAGTGGGAGGCACATATGCAAACTGTTGTAATTCCTACACCGTTCACCTGATTTGGATGTAAATACCCTCAAATTAAAGCTGACAGTCTGCAGTTAAAGCACATCTTGTTTGTTTCATTTCAAATCCATTGTGGTGGTCTATAGAGCCAAAAATGTTAGAATTGTGTCGATGTCCCAATATTTATGGACCTGACTGTATAGCGCTGCATTTTCTGCCAGATTTATTTCAAAGGTTGAGAGGTTGCACCTTCATGCTAGCTGCTCACACTTTTTCATACTAGCGCTCATATACCCCCCCCCCCCCTTTTTATTATATAAAAAAATGTAATGAAGTATTAATAAATACAGAGCTGCAGTGATGAAAAGCAAGGTCTTAAGTTGCAAATGTTTGCAAATATCCAGTTGCCTACATAGGTGGAATTTCATTAAAAAATATTCAATTTCAGAACATTCATTTGATTTTATAATAGTTAATGAGGTCAAATCAACAATCATTTTCAGTGGATTTTGGTTTTCGTTTCTGAAATTTCGATTATTCCAAATCGCATGTTAAAAGCAAACTAAATTTTGAAGTAGTTTTGAATGACATTCACCCAGCCTCCGATATCATTATCGAATACACTGACAACATTATATTTGTATGAATTTGGTTTTTGTATGGCCAGATTGCACCTACGTCAAGATTGCATCCTCAAAAACAGATTATGATATTGAATTTCTGCATCTACCCTGTTTTTTTTTTTTTTTTTCAGATTGTAAAAATCCTGAACTTGTACACACCAGTGAATGAATTTGAAGAGCGTGTCACAGTCTCCTTCATCAGGAGTATTCAGGTGAGTGGCGGTTATACACAACCTTGCTGCAAAGTCTAGTGATAGTATACATTTCAGAGCTATAGAATGGCTTCCCTGCTCCTTGGCTGCATTGCAGTGTACCCGCAGTTTGATGCAGGTTAGCTGCACCTTGTCGTAGACATATTTTGTGCCACCATTTTGGTGCACTTTCAGAAAATGCACCAAAACTGTGGAACATAATAGAAGTATATGGCAAAGTGTATTTAACCCACACTAGTTACCCACACTAACCCACGTCCATGCTGCGGGGAAAGTGTAGCAGGGCAGTGTGAAGCTGCATGTAAGCTTGCAAGCCTAGAGACAAAGTGAGAATGAAGTGAGAGTCTCTGGGGATATACACTATATTGCCAAAAGTTTTGGGCCACCGGCCTTTACACACACATGAACTTTAAAGGCATCCCAGTCTTGGTCCGTAGGGTTCCATAGTGAGTTGGCCCCGCCCTTTGTAGCTATAACAACTTCAACTCTTTTGGGAATAAGCTTGCCACCTCATCTGTGGCTGATTAAGGTGGTAATTAAACTCACTTGGTGCCTTATCTGCATTAAATTACCCTCAGAACCTTTGTAATTAATATGTGTTCAGTTTTAAAGGGATAAGGTGGCGTCCCTATCTGGGAAGGCCGTCCACAAGGTTTAGGAGGGTGTCTATGGGAAGGTTGGACCATTCTTCCAGAAGCACATTTGTCAGGTCAGGCATTGATGTCGGGGGAGGAGGCCTGGCTCGCTGTCTCTGCTCTAATTCATCCCAAAGGTGTTCTATGGGGTTGAGGTCAGGACTCTGTGCAGGCCAGTCAAGTTCCTCCACCCCAAACTGGCTCCTCCATGTCTTTATGGACCTTGCTTTGTGCACTGGTGTGCAGTCATGTTGGAACAGGAAGTTACCATCCCCAAACTCTTCCCAGAAAGTTGGGAGCATGAAATTGTCCACCATATCTTGGTATGCTGACTGCTTAAGAATCCCTTCACTGGAACTAGGGGGCCAAGCCCAACCCCTGAAAAACAACCCCCACCGTAATTCCCATCTCCACTAAACTTTACACTTGGCACAATGTAGTCAGGCAAGTACCGTTGTCCTGGCAACTGCCAAACCCAGACACGTCCATCGGATTGCCAGACAGAGAAGGGTGATTGGTCACTCAGAGAACACGTCTCCACTGCTCTAGAGTCCAGTGGCGGCGTGCTTTACACCACTGCATCTGACGCTTTGCATTGCACTTGGTGATGTAAGGCTTGGATGCAGCTGCTCGGCCATGGAAACCCATTCCATGAAGCTCTCTACACACTGTTGTTGTGCTAATCTGAAGGACACACCAAGTTTGGAGGTCTTTAGCTATTGACTCTGCAGACAGTTGGTGACTTCTGCGCACTGTGCACTTCAGCATACGCTGACCCCGCTCTGTCATTTTACGTGGCCTACCACTTGGTAGCTGAGTTGCTGTTGTTCCCAGTTGCTTCCACTTTGTTATAATCCCACTAACAGTTGAGCGTGGAATATTTAGTAGCCAGGAAATGTCACGGATGGACTTATTGCACAGGTGACAACCTATCACGGGACCACGCTTGGAGTCACTGAGCTCCTGAGAGCGACCCATTCTTTCACCAATGTTTGTAGAAGCAGTCTGCATGCCTAGGTGATGATTTTATACCCCAGTGGCCATGGAGGTGATTGGAACATCTGAATCCCATGATTTGGAGGGCGGGGCCAATACTTTTGGCAATATAGTGTATTTCTTAATCCAGGCCCTTAGTACGCAAACATGGGCTTCCTGAACTATGGTCGTTTTTACATGCTATGTTTATATTGTTCACAGCTGCTTTCCAGTATTGTAACAATATGGGACATATCATAGCATATGGCTTGGGCTATCCCTGTGATGCCTCTGAAATAGTTTATATGGGGTGCAGTATACCGCATGTAATATATTCAATTGTATCAACCTCTGTGTAGGTTACAATGAGTCACCAAAGATCCATTATCTCCTGCGCTCAAGGACTCAGATCAAACAGGCGTTAGTGACAAGCAGCGTGTTGTGTATTCATCCACTGGTGATCAGAGGTTGTGCAGCTCTATCATGAAGCTGGGGAAGCTTAATAAAACTGTAGAGGAAGATGAAAAAAAGAGCGCACAAACCTTGCGCATTACCTCAATAAATAGTGACTAATTTTATTAATAAGGAAATATACTCACAAAATGATTGTATAACAGGCATAAGTAACCATCATCCAAACAGGGTTACAGGTAAATCAAAAAGGGGGGGGGGGATGAATGCTAACGCGTTTCGAAGGGTGCTCCCTTCTTCATCAGAGCTGGGTTTGGCAGATAGAAACTTCAGTATGGCAGAGTTCCCATGGCAAGGAGATATTCAGCCACTGAGTGTCAGTATTACAGCAGTTCAGCCTGTTTAGTGCTGTAATACTGACACTCAGTGGCTGAATATCTCCTTGCCATGGGAACTCTGCCATACTGAAGTTTCTATCTGCCAAACCCAGCTCTGATGAAGAAGGGAGCACCCTTCGAAACGCGTTAGCGGTCACCCCCCCCCCCCTTTTTGATTTACCTGTAACCCTGTTTGGATTATGGTTACTTATGCCTGTTATACAATCATTTTGTGAGTATATTTCCTTATTAATAAAATTAGTCACTATTTATTGAGGTAATGCGCAAGGTTTGTGCGCTCTTTCTTTCATCTTCCTCTATAGGTTACAATGAGACCAGGGTCACCTGCTCCAATAATTTTGTCCAAATTTCATCTGTGATACTTCCAATGTCTCCAACCCATCCCTCTTTGCAAAACGGCACGACTGAGTCAAACACTACCCTGCAGAGAGGTATAAAAGTTGGATGTGAACCTTGGTTCACAATAGTTTTGTGGGCCCGGCACAGCAGCCTATTCATGTGAATGGGTTGCCATGCCTTGCAAAATGTAGGTAAAATGTCCTTGCGGTTCTCGATGCAGGTGCAATTTCCAGTGCAGGTGGCGTTCCATTAAAATTAATAGCACCCGCAAGCGGGTCTTGCATATTGCGTGCGGGTGGTTGCAGCTGCGGGACAAAGTGCGGGTCCCACAGCGCTTCCACCCTCAGTAGTGTGAACCGAGCCAAAGTCTTTTTAATGTCTATGTGCAAGTTTCTGAATAGGCGGACCATTCGTCAAAGATCTATTATATATTTATCCTGAATAGACAAGGCATGCCTCAGTTAGAGATATTGGTGGTTTGGCAACTAATATTCAGACTGCAGTGTTGGGAACAACTTTAACATGTCCGCAAATACAGTTGGTGAACCTATCAGATCCTAGTCTGGTACCGGCAGTCAAACCCCCTAACGTGAACTTTAGCAGAATTCTTACAATTCTTTAATTTTTTTATTTTCGTTTATTTCAGGCTCAGTTACAGGACCGGAAAGACCCTCCACAACTCCTGCTAGACTCCAAGTATATGTTCCCTGTCTTATTCCCCTTCAACCCTTCACTAATCACCATGGACTCCATCCAGATCCCATCTTCCCTTCGCCTCGACTTCCTCAACAAAGTCTAAAAGGACCACGTATTTTTTATATTATGACATTAACCCCCACCCCCAAAAAAAGAGACTGCTCTTGAAGTGTATATGTGGGACCAATCCCGACATCATGTGGAAAAACATTCAAATCTCATCTGCACTGAACCTGATTTTTAATTTATCCCTCTGACAAAAACACTAAGATTCTAAATTTTATTTTTTAAAGTAAAGGATAGCTGAAATCCGTGGAAGAGCGAGTTTACATCGGAGTAATGCACAAATACATGGAGAATGGAGAAAGAGAGAAAATATTGTTTTTAAGCTACTGTTATATTTTTAATATAATTTGTTTTACAGAAATGAGATCCTCGGATTGAAAAGAAAAAAAATGTAAAATCTATCACTTTGTAAATGAAAAAATGCTGTAATTGTAAATACAGCTGTAGAGCCCAGCAGACGAGGGGCCTGCGGCAGAAAAAAAAAAAAAAACATGCATCAAAAAAAACTCTCTGTCTCTGTGTATTGATATATCAGTGTTGGTCTTTAGATACATTGAACGTGTATATAGTATAAAGGATAACTGGACTTTTAAAGCACAGTCACTGGAATTTACTAACACTGAAGCAGACAGAATCTTGAACAGCTGTGCATGGCAACCAATCAGGTTCTATCTTTCATTTTCAAAACATTTCTGCACAAGCTGAGGATGGAAGCTGATTGGTTGCCATGCACAGCTGTTTCATATTCTGTCTGCTTGAGGTTTCCTAATTCTCTGCCCTCAATAACAATTTTTTTTTTAAGATATCTGAAGATACCAAGTCAGTTTGCCATTATAACCTCTTAGCTTTGCCTTTTTCCCCCTTTGTGCTTTCAGGGCTGCAATCAAAGACCTGGATCAGTATAAACAAGGTTTTATTTCTATCCAGCCTGTGTGCAGTCTACACTGTGTAGAGTAAAGAGGAGTATACCTAAGACCAGGAAGGTGCCAGGAACAGGCGTTCTGCTGTCCACAATCACATGGGGTGCTGGAATGGGCGTGGCTTAGCTAAATTTACTATAGAGCAGGGGTGTCAAACTGGCGGCCCTCCAGCTGTTGGTGAACTACAAGTTCCATCATGCCTCTGCCTGTGGGAGTCATGCTTGTAACTGTCAATCTTGCAATGCCTCATAGGAATTATAGCTTGGCAACAGCTGGAGGGCCATCAGTTTGACACCCGTGCTATAGAGCATCCTTCTTCCAGGAGTTTTGGCTTACCTTGATATTTTCCAGTAATTACATGAGTGCAATGCAGTATGAAATCCGCCATTTTGGCTCTTGACTCTGAAGTAATTGTATTATACAAGTTGTTGATCTCTGTATTATCTATTGATAGGTGCTGACTGCAGACAGGCTGAATATAAACAAAGCAATGCTTACTCTGGCCTTGGGCTGTGACAGTAAGGAAGGAGGAAAAGAGAAGATTAATTGTGTTTCTTCCTGAACCTCTAGTGGCACCACATTGCAGGGACCTCTGAGCTGATTGGTTGCTCAAGCATTGGATGGGGGGGGGGGGTTGGTGTAAGGGAATGCACATTCTCCATGGTATCCACTACCATGGGGGGGGGGGGGGGGGGGGGGGGGGGGGGGACAGTGAAGGCTCCATGCAGCACTGGAGGGGCACATGCAAAGGTAAATGATACGTGTGGTGGGCACCTTGTACTGTCAGCTTTCTTGTCCTGCTGTCCATTTAGTATGTTCTCTGTACCCCCCTCCACACATAAACCTTTAACTCTCCTTATTCCCACCCAGCCCTTTAACTGGGCTATTACACCTGGGGGGTGGGAAGGTCTTCCTCATTACACAACCACTGTGATTTGCTGTCATGTGATCAGGAGTCGGTCCGCGCCGCCTCCCAGTCATTACTATAGACCCGGAGCTGTCACTGTACTGGGAGCGCACTATCAGCATTGAAACCTCTGGCATCCATGGACACGTATGTGCAGTGTGTGAGCATTAAAGCCCACCCTATTTGCAGCTGCACATATATGTTACATGGGAAGCAGGAGGTTCATGGAAGACAGGTATGTACAGCAGGCACACATGCCCAGAAGTTCTTAATATGCAAATAGAAATTTCAGGTGCTGAAGTTCTGCTCGCTCCTTCCCCCTCGCTGATCCTTCTATTGATCCATCCATTTGATGGACAGCCTCACTGACCAATAGCAAGCAGCTAACAGTATATTTCATCTCTGTTGGTTGTGGGGCTCCTTGGGAGCTCCACAGGGTAGGTGGCCACATATAGAGGCACCTCAGAGGTACATATCTGCCTTCAGTTTAATGGTCAGAGGTTTACTTTAAAGGGTCAGTCCATCCAGATTCGCCATTTTATTTATGGGTGGATGATGATGAGCTGAATGAGCCGTTGGTTTCCTGTGTGTCTCCTTGGATTGCCTCCACCATGGAGTCTTCTTCATCTTGCTGCAGTATGTGTGATGACAAATATGATTAATAGAGAATCCACCAGAAGGAGGTCGGACCTTTTGTAGGGGACACAAGGTGGGATTCTGGACAGAAAGGTTTAAATGGGACTATGGACATGAAGAAAATACATACTGTATATGTTTATCAAAACAGCACAAGGGGCATTACTTACTATTAATGTGATGTTTCCCTTGTGTTGCTGCCTCCTGCATTGCTTGAAATCTCCCTTCTCCATTCCCCACCCCCATCAAATTTGAAAGTTTTAAAAAATGTCATTTTTTTTTGTAAACGATTATTACATAGTAAAACATTGCTGTTTCAAAGCATTTCACATACGTTTTGTCCCGAGTGCTTTGTCCGGCGCCCTGCCTGCATTTTAACTGTTCTTTCTGCCTGGAAACTGAGAAACGTCCATGGCATCCAAAAATCGTCCCTTTAGGTCAAAAGCGGTTTTAGACCGGCTAGAGAACAGCGATAGTAAATCAGAACCACTTGCAGAATTGAGTGATAAGGATTCGTGGGGGAAATTCGTCATCAGACACTGAAAATGATTCTGCGACTTTGCTCAGTGATGCGCAAACTTGGTGCTATATTTCAAATTTCAATGTTTTTGGTTTGATTATATTATTGAATTAAATTTATTATTATTATATTATTATTTTTTATGATTATTTATTAAATTATAATTTATGATTGCGTGTTTTCAAGTTTTATCATATCCGGAATGTTTACTAGACTCTTGTTCGGACAGATTTCAGTGAGTTATTCCTAAAAATTACAGGCCTACAATAAAAAAAAACAACATATTTCCATGCAAAAAAATGGTACCGCTTTCAGCACCAAAAATCTGAAATAATCACACCACCAGAAAGGTTAATAGTGCTGATGGAACTGTGACCGTCATTCACCAAGAGTGCCGTCCTTTCAGCCCAGCTCCTCCATTCATACAAGCCATGATCTATGATAGGAGGACGGGCAGATGCCTGAAAGGTCCACCTCCTCCATTCATAGATCCTGTTTTATTAGAAGCTATAGTACAGCATCTATGAATGGAGGAGGTGGGAAGGCATAGTCAGGCATCCTTCATGAGAGCCTGTCACAGCTCCTTCTGCTCTAATAACCCCGATGCACCAGAGATTACACCGGTGGTGGTATTGGGGTTATTGGAGAAGGACCATTTCAAGAAATGCAGCAGCCAGCAGCACAAGGGACACCACAGATTAATTGTAAGTAATGTCTCTTGTCCAGGGGTGGACTGACAACTCATGGGGCCCCCGGGCAATAGGGGATCATGGGGCCCCTGTGTCCTTGCCCAAACTCAAAAAAGCCTATGAAAAAGGTACCAGGGGCATCTTATGGGGCCCCCTACTGACCCTGGGCCCTCGGGCAGTGCCCAAGTTTCCAAATGGTCAGTCCGCACCTGCTCTTGTCCGGATTTTTTTTTTTTTAAACAAAATTACCCCCCATAGCATAGTTTTATTATCTGTTGATCCTGCCATTAGATTTGGCTGATATTTTTCCCACTTCCTGTAAACAGACCAAGCTGTTGAACAAAAGTTGCACTTTCAGGGTCGGGACAAACCATATCACACTGCAGGGGTCAGCCATGTTGCCTAAACCTTTTTTTCAAATGAAATGGTTAATGTAGTTGCTTAAAAAAGTGTTAGCTGGAGTTTGGCTTTAATTTGTTTTTAAAGCAGAACTAAACCTTCCTCTCCTTTACAGCCAAGGAAGCAGCCATCTTGGCCTCTGTTTGATCTACAGTTGCCATGACACTGCCCATGTGATCAGTTATGACACCAGCCAATTGATGAGCTGACAGCTCGGTTGGGAGCACAAGCAACGCTATGACAGAACTTCAGCAGCTGAAACCGCACACTTAATGATCCAAACAAGGACTAAGCTGCACCACAATGCAATGTAAGTGTATACGTTTAAGGCTCCTGCATACAGAGGCGGAATGGCAGAAAGATCCTGCAGAAAATATGGTCTGCAGTGCAAGGCGAATGTCTGTAGAGTTGAAATGCATACGAGCAGCTGTCAGTGCCGGTCAGCACAATGTGAACACAAACAGTCATCCTTCCTAATCACCTCTGAAAAAGACAAGGCCATATTTTGTTCTGACACTGATGCTGGGGGGAACTAACTGCCACTGACATCACCAGTGATAATAATATACACTTTCACTGTACTAATGACACTGGCTGGGAAGAGGTTAACATCTAGGGTGATCAAGGGGTAAATGTGTGCCTAACTAGGTGTAACAGATCTCCAAGTTTCTCATCCCTGCTTTGCAGGGATAGGAAATTTAGCAATCGTTCCCTCTATACAGAGCGCAGGGCTGTGATTGGACAGGGGGCTGTGCAGGGCTGTGTACAGGCCAGGGGCGTGCATCCGAAACCCGGAAGCAGGCAGCAGCGTACGGGTACATCACTTTGCCTACAGTGGCCACCCAATGCGAAGTACATTGCTGACGGGCAGTCGCTAAGTGGATAATGACTGAATGCCGAGGTCATTCTGCGCCACTACCGCTGCCTGTGTCTCATTCAGGGCCTGCGGAGGGAGAATAAACATAA